ACTCTTCTAGAACACCAAAGCTCAAAGGCATCAATTCTCCTTCTATCCTCCTTAGTCATTGTCCAACTCTCTGATGCATAACAAGTGATCGCAAAGACCATAGCCTGTATCAGACACACCTTAGTCTCCAGAGAGACACCATTGCTCTTCAGTACTTTGGAGAGGTTCCTAACAGCAGACTTTCCCACCACAATATGTCTTTTAATTTCCTGGCTACTGGTGCCAAGACTGTTGACTGTGGAGCTAAGCAAACTAAAGCTGTGAACAATCTCAATCTCTTCACCATCCATCCTGATGCTCTCAATTGGTCCAGTGGTGAGAATCTTTGTCTTCTTGACACTGAGCCTCAATCCATATTGGAGACTGCAGTCCTTGACTCTCTGCAGCAAGCGCTTCAGGTCCTTCTCAGTTTCAGCAAGCAGGGTTGTGTCATCTGCATATCGCAGATTGTTGTTTGAGATTTCTGGACACTAGCAGCCAGGAAATCAAGAGATGTGTAGCTTTGGGAAAGTCTGCTGCAAGGATCTCTCCAGAGTGCTAAAGAGCAATGATGTCAGTCTAGGGACTAAGATGCACCTCATCTAACCCAAGGTCTTCACAATTACTTACTATGCATCTGAGAGCTGGGCAGTGACTAAAGATGACAGAAAGAGAATTGATGCCTTGAAATGTGGTGCTGGAGAAGAGCATTGAACATAACAAGAACTGACAAGAGAACAAATAGATAAATCAATACTGAAGTTGTTGAAACCAGCCTGCTCCTTTGGGGCAAGAATTGTGAAGCTCTGTCTCACATACTTTAGACATATTGCCAGGAGGAACCAGTCTTTGGAGAAAGACAACATGTTTGTAAGGGTAGAGAGTCAAGAAGACCCTGGATGAGAGGAATTGATATGGTGACTATAGCAATGTGGACAAATGTGTCAGAGACAGTGAGATTGACTCAATATAGGGCAGGGTTCATAGCAATTGTTCACATAACAACAGCAACAACAACTGTGTGCCAGCATTGCATAGTGGCTTTCTCTTCACACTGCTATCTGTCTCCAAATCCCAAACTCAGCTAGTTACTACCTGTGGTCTCGTAATAGCATAGACTGTTGTTGTTAGTTGACTAGGACTCATAGCAACCCTATAACAATGACTCTGACTCCTGTCCTATCCAGTGCCATCCTCATTGCTGATACATCCAAATCCATTGTCACAGCCACTGTGTTGATTCATCTTGTTGAGGGTTCATCTTGTTGATTCATCTTACTCTCTTTCGCTCAGCCTTTCCAAGCATACTGTCTTTTTTCCAAAGACAGAACCCTTCTAACAATGTGCCCAAAGTATGTAAAAAGTTTCACCATCCTTGTCTCTTAGTTCTTTTGGCAATCCATGGGATATATAACACCCTTCTTCAACACCACAATGCAAAGGCATCAATTCTTCTGTCATCCTTAGTCAATGTCCATCTTTCTAATGCATAGAAAGTAATTGAAAAGATCATGGGTTGATTCAGGTGTACCTTAATCTGTAAACTGACATATTTGCTTCTTAACATGTTAGAGAATTCCCTGACAGCAGATTTCCCCAATAAACATGTCTTGTGATTTCTAGATTACTGGGTGTTCTAGACACTAAGGGTGTTGACTGTGGACCCAAGCAAAATAAAATCATTGACAATGTCAATCTTTTCTCCTTCTATCGTGATGTTGCCTATTAGCCCAGTGGTGACAATTTTTGTTCCTCAGAAAATGTTGTGATGTTGAGATGTAATCCATATTGAAGATGTAGTCTTTGATCTTCTGCAGCAAGTGTTTCAAGTTCTCCTTGCTTTTAGCAAGCAAGATTATGTTATCTGCATAGTGCATGTTGTTGATGAGTCTTCCTCTAATTCTGATGCCACGTTCTTTTTCATAAAAGTCCAGCTTCTTAAATTATTTGCTCAGCATATGCATTGAATAGGAATGGAGAAAGGAT